GGAGTGGAGTGGGGAAAAAAAGGAGAGGCCGGGAGCGCAACCAGGCGCGGCGGCCGCTGACTCAGCCCCACTTCCGGAATCCCGGCGGCCGCCCCGCTGCTTGGCCGGAAAGCTGCCCCGCGGCGCAGAGGAGGCTGACTCACGGCGTCACGGCCACTAACAATCGCTCTCGGCTGCCGTCCCCACGGGGCATCTGCCCACTAGGCGCACATGCCCCGGGAGGGTAAAGTGAAGTCGCTGCGTTTTCTCCGTGGGGGCGCTGCCAGAGCTCGTTCCCTTTTAAGAGTAGGAGATCCCAGGAAGGCGGCTTTGTCCCCGTGCAGGATGCCTCCTAACAGCTTCGACCCGGCTTTCGTGGGGAAAAGCCTGCAGTCCCCAAGAGGGTGCTTCTTACGTGCTGTCGACAAGGGGGCTGGACGCGGTGATCCGCAGGTTCTCTCTTCTAGCTCTGCCGTCCTAAGACCGTGATGAACTCGCTCTCGCCTTACGGCGACCCTCATAGAGTTTCCGAGGTACTGTATATGAGCTACTTAAGGAGTAGTGTTGTCATCCGTCTCCCACCACCGTGAGTTTCAGAGACCGAGCATGAGCTCTGTGTAGTACACCACACTGGCCTTCCCTCTAAAGAGTTTACTGAGCCAATAGTCCCAAATGCCAATTGAGGGTGATGCCTTTAGAGTTTCAGAGACCGAGCATGAGCTCTGTGAAGTACACCACACTGGCCTTCCCTCTTAAGAGTTTACTGAGTCAATAGTCCCAAATCCCAATTGAGGTGATGCCTTTGCTGCGCTCCCTTAGCCGGCTGAGAGACTTCCTGGCAGTTCGCTCTGGGTGGCTGTTGTACCTCCTCGATCGCCATGGAGAAAATGCAGGTTAACACCCTCTGAGCACCGACAGGGAAAGATGGGTTTCTGTGCAAACTAGCAAAGGGTGGGGAAAACCTTCGATCAACAGGGAGCGGCAGAGGCCAGAATACGTCTGTAACACGTCTTTTGGAAGACTGTGGGTTAGAGACTGGTGGTATCTGAAAGCTTGCTAGGTCTAGATCAGTAGATCGTCCCTTGGGCTGAATGAACAAATTCCAATGTCCATGAGAAGCACGTTAAACTGTTTATATATTCACTTCCCCTCCCAACCCTTCATAGTTTACCAGCGGGCGCGAACAAAGCAGAGGCAGGCTGTTCCAGAAGGTTCCGGCGCTCCACGAGGCTACTCGGCGGAGGTTTTCTCGCCTGAAAGTCCTCGACGGGGTGGAGGCCAGGAGCGAAACCAAGCAGCCACAGAAACTCACTGATGTGCATGCGGAACGCATAAAGCTACTCCGCAACTATGTCACCTACCTTCAAAATCCTATTAGGGTAGCTGTAAATCAGATGTGATATGGGGGCACCAACCACAGAGAGAGAGAGAGAGATGCTGAAAAGGACCGAGGCCTCCTCCATAGACTAGATTTTGTTAGCAAGCTCACCGTTACAAACCACTGCAGCCTCCAGGGTATCTGGTTGTGTGCGCGCGTGCGTGCGTGCATGTGTGTGCAGCCCTCCCCCTCCCCCCGTCTTCTGAGAGACTTCCTTGCATTTCCCCCTAGGCTGCTGCTACTGTTCTTCTTTGGCTGCCGTGGAGAAAATGCAAGCGAACAGCCTCTGAGCAGCCTTGCCCTGCCGCCGACGAGGAAACATGGGTTTCCCCGCAAGCTAAGAAAGGCGCGCGGGGGGAGGGACACACCTTTCACCGACAGGGCTTAGCGGAGGCGAGCCCTCTTCTTTCCCGCCACCCTGCTTGGTTTCTGTGGAGAAGCGACGTCTTTCAGGGCTAGAGCCTTCCGACGTGCCTTCCCGCGCCCTTCCGTTTCCCTTGAGCCGGCTCTGCGAAGCCCTTCCCGCCGCCCCCTCTTTCTGGCCGTCGAGGGGCCGTTTCCTTTCCGCTTTCGCTTGAGGCAAGACGGACCCCCTCTCCTTCCCCGGTCCTCTGTCGGAGTGCCCGGGGCGCCTCCTCCCCGGCCGAGTCCCGCCTCCCGCTGCAGGGCGCCCCGCCTCTCCCGCCCCCGAGGAGCCTGGCTGCGCTGAGCCACGCCTCGAAGGGACGCTGTAGGGGCGCATTCGCTCAGGAGGCGAGAGAGGGGCCGTTTCTTCGCGTTAGAAGCCGAAGGGACCAAGGGATTCCCCGGAGACCCGAAAGAAGCCACTTCGCGCCCTTGGTTCAGCCCGTGGCTCTGGGACGCTCAGGGTTGCTGATAAGAGGAGGTATTTTAAAGTCTCTCTCCTTGGAGAGGAGAGGGAAACGACGCGGGGAATCTCCAGGGCGGTGGAGTGTGTGCTGGGGGCAGTTATTCAGAACTGACGCCTCTGATTGCTGAAGGCTGAAGCTGGCTGGACAGAGGTCATGGAGGGCGACTTCATGGGTCCCGTATTCCTTCGGAAGGCCTTGAGCACCTGTGGGGTGATGCGATGCTGCCTCAGTAGAAAAGGGCCCTGGAAAGAGGGAGCAGAGCATTGATCCAGCTAGCTCACTGTTGCCGATGCTTGCTTGACCCGAGCTAACCAGAAGTGCCAACGGGAGCCTTCTCTGGTGGTGCCTGGTCAGCAGAGGCCAGAGTTGCACCTGAGGTCTTTTGCAGAGAGCGGATCTGCGCTGCTCTTGGGTTGCAGCCTCCCCTGCCCAGGGACCCATGGCACCAGGGTGGATTCCGGAGAGAGGAATCGCCCCCTTTGAATGGTTCTTCTGTCCGAGAGGTCTTGGAAAAGTCAGTGAGGAAAAGTTGTAGCCCAACACAGAATTCCATCAACCCAGGTTGTGTGCACCTAAAACTGTCAACTAACCCCACGGGTTTCTGCTTTCGATCCGGGCCCCTTGATTCTTAGCTCATGACTCTTCCCACGGGCTAAGATCTGCTCCTGAGTGCCACTGCCTGTCCCAGTGCCAAGAGCCAATTGGTTTAGCGGCAATGCCCAATAGTTTTTCCAGTGAAGATATTCCGGTGACTGAACCTTCTTTGTTTCCTGGGGGGGGGGTCCTTATGCCTTGCAGCTTCAGAGTGAATTCCATTTAATCCACATTTTGAAAGATGCATTTAAAGTGGCTTTTCCAGTCCCCACTCTTTTCTTAATTTGCTGTTATGTTCCACTTTTTAAAAAAAATCTTTATATTGCACTTTCTCTTTAGGGCTGTTTTGAACAAAATTTGAGGTCCAGTTCAGTGTTGGTTATGGAGTATAAATCCCTGTATGGTTTGCATCCAGGCTATCTGGAGGACCTAATCGCTCCATCATAGCCTCGCCAGCCTTAAGCTCTTTGGAGAAGGCCTTTCTCT